AAGACCCACACCAGCCATCGTATGCCGGCCGTGAAAGCCTTCGACAATACATTAAAAAGAGCACCCTCCTATTTTAAAAAAAAATGATTTGTCTGATAATTAATAATATCAGGCCACTTTAAAGAAGCTTCGCTTTTGATGCTTCCCATATGGAAACAAATGGGAAAATGAGTTTAGAAGATGGGTTTAGAAGATAGGGAGAATTTACTGTATATGATGTAATTAGTATAATGGAAATATACTTCCTTAAAGAAAATATAGGGAAGGGAATGAACCTCTTTGGTAGTTATATCTTGCAGTAAAAAGTGGTAGCAATGTCTGTGTAATTGGAAATTGATCATATCTTGTCATTACCATTAACTCGGGGAAAAAAAAACAGCATTGATAAGTGGGTGTATTTAACTGCATTACTAAGACACCAGTGTGTTGTAAAATCATCATTTATCAATTGGTTTCTATTACAGGAGTTGGATTTTCATTTACTGGTTTGGAAAACAGCCTGATTCAGAGAGTGCCCGATTTGACTTGGCAGCTAAATCTGAATTTTGATTCAAACTTCACGGCTCTCATTTGAAATCAACAAATAGGGTTTTTCCCCCTGTTTGATAAAACTGATGAAATTTCTAGATACTGTAGTCTTTATCAGAAGATGATAATTATCATGCTTCAGACAAATAGGTGCATGTATTTTGATTGCATCTACTTATCAAGGTGCTTTTGTTTTTGTTTTTGAGGGAGTCAAGATTTCAAATTTCAGTAAGCAGACAGAAGTCTGTAACAAGACAATTGTAATGAAAATGGCATCTTAAATATCTACCTTAAAACTATGAGAAAAAAACACAATTCAATCTCTGCTTTGCTCCAAGGTGCTATTGGTCCTAGAGTAATAAATGTCGCTTATGCCAACTCCATCCAAAAGGAAAATGAAATAAATTGCTTGAGCCCCACCCACCCCAAACCCCAGTCAATTTCGTCATGTTGTGGGCACTGTCTTGTATGCAAAAAAAGTCCCCCAACCTCCCACCCCTCAAAATCTGAACAGTGAATGAAAACTGCAAAGTTGGCAAGCCGCCTTTCACGTTAAAAGAAGTAAAATCCAGGAGCCAAGAGATGTATCGAAGCGTCAGCTCTTGCCAGAGAGGAACCCCCAGAACCACAGTATTTGGAAGAAAAGAGTAGCCTTACTGTGGTTTTAAACACATTGCAGCTATGCCAGAAATAAATCAGCTCAGTGCTGAAACACAGCAGATATCATTGGATCACAAAGGTCCTGCGCTGCTTTTGAATTGGTGTAGACTTTAGGCCTTAAGCCTAGAGAAAGAAACCACAAACAGCTATTTTCATGGAAACTTTGGTGGTCCCCGCAAGACAAGATTCCTATATATCAAACTTTTTCCAGCTTTAATCAGATAGTGCCATAGCTGCTTCCTGCTCCAAATATCCACATGCCTCTGGATATGCTTCTGAAGGAAAATGCAGGGCTGCTGAATAAACTTGAGGAGAAATTTCTCAAGGGCCACAGAGCGAAAGCATATCGTAACAGCTAAATCCCAGTCAAAGATTGGCAGGGAAAGTATCCTAGAACTTTACTAGTAATGTCCTCATTATAGTTTATACCATTTTATGTTCCTTTGTTGCCTATTCTCCACTTTTTGTCTAAACTGGATCAATAGGACCCATAGGAAAGGTAATCCCTTGGGGATCTCAGGAGGATTTTCAAAAAAATGAATTGGAGCCTCCACACACTTTCACCTGATTCCCCTTGAATGTATGTGCTTTTCTTTTTTCCTTTTTCCTGTCTTTGATGCCATTTTTTTACTGCCAAACGCTGCTTAACAGCAGGAGATGAGCCTCCACAATCTCGAACCCCCCCTTATTTCTAATACCTCTTTCGGGCTCCTTTCCCAGCTTTGCTATAATTCACAGTTCTTTTCCACCCATCTCCCTTTTGTCTAATCTTTCTCAAGGAAACTGAACTCCTTGTTATTAATAGTCCCAGGAGCCTAAAATAACCAAGAGCTGGAGACCAAACATCATTTAAAGCTGCCACCCAAGCCATTTATTTGGATTAAGCCTTAACTCTAAAGCACTTTCTTTTTGTGTTTGTATTGTGCACTAACAGTTATTTTTGTTCTTAATTTAATTTATATTTACTTTCTATCTTGTATTTTTAATTGGACTGCTAGTCTCACTGACTAAAATCTAGACTTTGTTGTATTTTGAGTTATTTTCAAAGAAACAGCTTCAATAGTTTGATATAGTGTCCTTTATCCATGTTAATAAACTACTGTTTTAGGATCTTGTTGTATGTGTTGTAACTCAGTTTAGTTCACACATTCTCTTCCCCATTCCACCCAAAATCACCAATACACATTTTTGGTCATTATTTAAAGGTCTGATCCTGGCTGATCTTGGAAACTAAAAAGGGTCAACTCAAGGTAGCGGTTGGATGGGTGACCTGGGAATAGAGCTGTTGGCTAGACTAAGAAGTAAAGAAAACATCCTGGAGTAATGTAAAGCTGTCAAGAAAACTGCATGGGTGCAGTTATCAGGAGTCAAGAATGACTCAAGGGTGTCTTTACTCTTAGTAGATATCTACTAAGAGGTGGTCTAAAGTTTGAGCCATGTTCCTGAACATTTCTAGTAACAATCCAGCAGTCTTATGAAGCATCACTCAGCCCAAATTAGAAAATAAGTTTTGGAGGCAAAGAAAGCTGCTTTTGGGGGGGGGGGGGGTTAGTTGCTGGAAAGCCCAAGAACTACCATAGGTAATCCGAAAGTAGTCAACCACTCCTGACCTTTCAGTGATTCCTCCACACCCATCATCCTCTCCTTGCATGTTTTCTTATTGACAGTCATTCCTGTTTTTTTCATTCCAGCTCCCTAATTTCATCAACACAACACTTCCTCCACACGAACAGGTTACAGCTCAAGAGATTGACAGGTATTTCCGACAGGAACTGATCTATAAGCGGAATGAGAGAATGGGAAAAAGAGTGATGGCTCTCTTAAGAGACAACACTGACAAGAGTTTCTTCTTTGCCTTTGGAGCAGGTAGGGCCTGAGTATGTTTTCTGTTGATTTCAACATGATGGGATGGGATGGGATAATTAATCTCATTTTCTGATCTAGTTTAACTTTGTAATTTCTTCCCCATATCTTTACTCTTCCCTAACATTTACTCCATTCCCAAAACATCTCAGTCCCAAATTATTTAAGACTGGGCAATGGGAGCAATGTCAGTGGGCTTGGGGACTGAAAAGGAGAAATGGGTCTTCTAACCTTTCTGTCTCTGGTGACACAGTATACTAAGGTAGCCAGATCAAAGTCATGGTCCCTTTTTTTAGAGGTACTTTTTCAGTGGCTACTGTTACTGTAAAACATGGAGAAAATTGGTATTGATGCCTGGGTTGGATTTTTATATGTCACAGATAAGAATTTAGGGTTTTACCATGCTCCTCTGAATCTAGTTGCTAGTATTGCAACTATTATTTGTTATTAACTCTACCAATTATCCACAGCTTTGGTTTAGTTTCTATTTGTTTCAGATCCATTATTTTCATTTAGATTGGATGAGCACCTATGAAACATTGGCTCAATTCCCTGTATAGTATTAACCTTGAAGAGATGGATTAGTCACCATCTCTCTGCCTTCATCAAGAGCTAATGAGTCTGGCCTGTTAATGAGTCAAGACTGTTAAGTTCTTGAAGAATTAATGACAGCATGTATCACAAAACTGTACAGAGGTTACAAATACTCAGAAAAAGCTATTCCTGATAAACATTTAGCTAGACTCTTTTTAAAAATGAAAGGTACGTGGAGGCAAATTTACCCAGCTCTCTATTATATATAATGCAATAATATTTAAAAGATTATATTCTGTGGTGGGGGTTTACTCTATGGTTGTTCGTGCAGTGAATAATATCACTTCCAAACATATCTTCTTCACTTCCTGCCAGTCCCCATCTACAAGCAGGAAATGTTTCTTTATAAGAACACTAAAGAGCGTCATAAAATAATACTACTGCTGACTGACTTTCCTTTGCCAATGCAATTACCTGGTTTGACACAGAGCCTGTAAGATGATCATGTTGTACTGGCACAGCGGGCACCATGCCATGAGACTGCTTTGCTGACACAATGGAATATAGAGTGGAGTCTTAAATTGGGTGAGGCCTACATGCAAACAGACTTCTGTGAAAACTAAAAGCTGGACTGCCATTGGCAAGCGGTAGAGAAAGCATCTGACAACAGCTAATTTCCCTTTTCCGTAGACTATGTACGCACAATTTTTTTCAGGCTTCCCTTAACATTTTAGGGGAGAAAGAATTAGCTATTACTGATAACAGTGTTTGTTGCAAAACAGAATATTGCCTGTCTGAGCAGTAATTTGCTGCAGATTTACAAAGCACCATCTCATAAAAAGCATCCCGTTTGTTTCAAGTGGAATCGGATTTAAGTCTAGGAATATGTCTTCCGCTAACTTTGTTGTTCCTGAGCAGGGATTTGGAATGCCATACTAGAGCAGGATCCAAAATTTCACAGCTGGCAACTGCATTTCTACTGAAGTGAAGCAAAATGAACAATCCCAAATTTAGAATATTGACAGAAAATTGGATCAAAACTAAACTGTTTAGAAACTTCATTTAAGAAGACCTTAAAATGAACTCCAACTATTATTCATTTTTATGGAGTGCAGTAATCAGCAGGCACAGTAAGATAGAGAACATTTTGAAACAACCTGTACATTGCATGTGGAATGCAAGCTAGTCCCCAGTATGTATTCTGGCCTCAATCCAATCCTGGGGTTTCCATTTTATGGTTTGCCCCCCATAGAACAGCATCTTTCCACCATAGGTACAAACCTACTTCACGTACATTCACCTAGAGTATCAGGTTTCTATGAACTGCTCAACCCTGGGAGAATGAGATGATCACAAACACTTGCAGTGATTCTCCCTCCTCCCTCCCAAACCGAAAACAGATGCTGCTTATTGAGCAGCATCATTTCAATAAAGTGTGGAAAAGAAATCTGTGCAAAAAGTTTGTTCTCCTTTGGTCACAGCTAATGTAAGCCATGCAGCAAAGAAAACAAATGGTAATTCTATCATCTCTTTATTGCCAGGATATAGCATAAAAGACAAAAGAGGCCCCAGTGGTATGGAACCATTGATTTATCAGTTAAATAGGCCATCCCATTGTCTGTCACTGCAGATGTTTCATTCTTTGGTCAAAGAAACAGCAGCAATGTCATCATGTTGATCACGTAGTGAATAAAGTATGTAATAATTAACAGTTTTCAGAATGGGAGATCAATGAGCAGGACATAAATCTTAAAAGGACTGGTTTGTCATATAAAAAAATATCAAATTAGAATTATTCTGATTTGTTTGGGTATGGTACTGGACTTTAGAAGAAAAATATCACTCTACAATATTGTATATATAGGCACTGGAGAAGAATTAAATTATTAGAACAGTCTTTTCTAAAGCTCAAGTTTTTTTTTTAAAGCACCAATGTGGTGATGCCATTTCTCACAAAATGTCTGGATTACCTTCATCTTTATTCTTCTCCTGAGGTTTTACTACCATTATATCTTCTAAATACAGCTATAGACCATATTAAATTTTTTTGGAATGAAATGTTGATGGAAAATTTCTGAAATTTCACTTGACTAAAGATGGTCTTTAGTCAAACTGTAGGATTTGACACTGACCATTGTCCTTCTTGCATGAGTCCAAATATCCTACAGAGTCAATTAATGGATGACTTAAGCAACTCATGGAAATAACTGCAGCTATCCAGAAGGAGATCTCATAATTCTGCTGCTGAAAATGTGATACTATCCTTTTATAAATGTTTGCTAGGATGCTGCAGTGGAATCTTTTTTTCACAAGAAATTCAATATGTCATTTTGCAGTATCTCTTTGTCATTCTGCATAGACATCCCTGGTTAGAGGCAATTGTGCCTGAGGGCTTGCTTAAAAAGAATAGGGGTGTGTTCTGATAACCCAACCCTCCCCCCCGCTTTTCTGTCATTCTATGAAGTTATATGTAACTTCTTTACATCCCTCTTTGGCCTCTGAGTTCACAACTGGGAGAAGAAAGAAACAGAAGGTACAGGCAGTCCTCAGTTTAAGAACAAGTTCTGTTCCCAAGGTCTGTCCTTGAGTCAGATTTGTATGTAAGCCAGAACAGTATTATTGTATAATATTATGTAAGTGGTATTGTGTATTTAGCTCGAATCATTGTGTATTTAACCTGAATTTTGCTACAATAGGCTCTGTTCTTAACTATGGATCATCTGTAACCTGGGCATTGTTAACCTGGGGACTACCTGTACTACTTGGAGGACAGAGAAATTAATGTGTACTTTCAAAGAAGAAGAAACATATTAACAATCATACTGTAAAGCTTGTTTGAAACTAAGAAAAAAACAATTACAACAGAATGCTCCATTTTAATGAGTGCTTATAATAATAACTAGGAGCTTGCTGGATCTTCACCAAAGTTGTATAAGAGATTCTTAGGAAACACATTTCCATTAATGGAAAACCCTGACCTGGAGGATAAAGAGGATATTGCTGCAAAGCGTTAAGAACATCCAAATGTCTGAATTGTTTGTTTTGGTCAGACAGGCATGGAAAATTCAAATATAAAATATAAAGCAAACAATATCCAACAGTCATATTTCTCTCAATACATGTTTTGTATGCAAACATTTAAGAATATATCTGCTTGCACTAATTAAGGTTTTATTAACATTGATTTATCTAAACATCTTCCAAACCAAATTAGCTGACTCCTTCAGAACTTTGGTCAGCTGGTCAGTGATAGCACAAAACTTGACCACTCTGTTAGAAATATCTTTAAAAGCACATAAAATTCTACAGCCATGCCTGGTATTTTCAATAAAATGGATGTAACAAAGGTGAAATGATATTCCCACAAAGGGACGAGGTGGAAGCACTTGACCCACTCTCTGTATATCACTAGAGTCATATGGAGAGATTTGCTGGGCAAAAGGAATATTTGCAGCACTGGGGCAAAATATTAAATTGGTCCATCCCAAAGAGGGAAAACCCTCCACAGCCATCTGAAGGTTTGAACTGTACATTAATACCCCTCTCTCTTTCCTATATTAACTAAAAGGGGTTTTTTTTAATTATTTTAAGGACTTTTAATGCTTAAAAAACCTGCATAAACCAAAACTGAGAGCTGCTACATAGGTACTAAAGCTTCTAAATGCCCTAAAACTTGCATGAAAAGCAAAGGAAAATGGAATGCACTTCAGAAAGTTACAGTAAAAATTTGATTTTATAGACCCCCATTCAGCGGTCATCAGATGCAACAGACAAATTTTACTTCAGTCTTCATGCCAAACAATGGACAGAATGTTTTTTCTGGAACACTTCAGGCAACGAATGAAATCAATGTAATTGGCATCAGTTTACCTAATAAATGACTTAAATGGACAAAAATGAAGTAAATTGCCTCATATGAAGTATATAAATTGATGCAAATGATGTAAATTACATCAGTTGCATACATTTGGTTTTAACGGACAGCTTCCCCTCACCTCGCTGGTTCATAAAACTTCATATAGTTAACTTAACTATATTATATAGTTAATCAGCCCAATGTAAGCTACTGCTGTAGCAGCAGTTAACAAATGGCAGTTTTTAGGTTCATGACAGAACAGTTTTCAGCCATTTCAATACAACAACAGTTCCAAGTAGCTACAGTAGAAGTCTTAGGGAGGCTAGGTCACCTGATATGTTGTCCAATCATATCAATTCTCATGAAAAGCAATGTTAGTAATTTAGCCATAAGAAACATGGAAAAAAACCTCATATAAATATCTTGCTTATGCCAGGGTCTCATAATAAAATGCCACTTCAATTTATTTGTCTAGTATTGAATGTATATGTCAATATCATTCTTATTCCTGATGACTTAGAATAAGGTAAAAGACAACTTTAAAAACCCATAAACTTTAAGAACAACAAAAACAAATTTAATAAAATCTCCAAAATAAGAAAAGGGGAAAAGA